AAAGGGCCTCTTATCTTAAATAAAACACAGATAGATGAAGCTTCAGGGCTGTAAACTGCTAATTAGTCTGGTGCAGGAGGTCTGCTTTGAAGCCACTTTCCTCTGCCCGATCATAAAACAATAACTCAGTCATTCATGACCTGTTGGGCTGTCAGGAATGGACTTGCCAATAGTGGTGGGACTCACCTGCCTTGTGGGCTGCAGTACCAGGGCTGGCCAGCGTGCTCTCAACAACCAGAGGTTCACTTCGGCAATTAGCCATCACCTGGGGCTGATTGCAGGTGTATTTAAGGATGGCCAGACCTGCAGTCTGTGCCTTGGTGTGTGTTTTTCCATGGGCCCCTGTACCTTGTAACCTGCATTCCTGTTCCTGTTTCTGCTTCTGCCTGACTTGTTGCCGACCCTGCCTGATCCTGACCTCTGCTGACTTCTCCTGTTTTGATCCCTGGCTTGTGACCCTGACCATTCTCTCCGCCTGCTCCTCCTGTACCTACCTGCCCGATAGTTATCTACCCGGCCTGCCTGACTACGTTGTGCTCTATATGTGTATGTACCTGTGTATCTATATCAGTTTAGGTTTGGGTTTGTTTCACCTTGTTGTATGTATTTGTGTTAGCTTGGGGTTTGGTGCACTGCGTTTATGTTTGTATTGTTAGTCTTAATAAATTGTCTTGTTTATACCATATCTGGAGCCTGTGTTTCCCTGTGTCAGTACACACATCTCTGGTCACACCCTCATCCCTGACATAGGCCATTAGGGCTAGAGCGTGCCATAAAACATACATTCCACATGTAGACATTTTTCATACAATTCATAAAGTTCAGCAGGAACTGGGCACATTAATATTAGGTATGTATTTGGATAGATCATTTTAATATGAGTCAAACAAGGCCTTACATGACTATGTTATCACCTAGGATGGGGAAGAAAGCAGTCTCTTTCCCTCCTGGGTGACAAGGGTACGCTGTGTTTGGTATCCTTGTGTTTGAAATACAATTCTGAATATTAGTCTGCCAGTTGCTAGGATGCTACCTGTACCTATTGTAGGTTATTAACCTTAGTATGAAATTGTAAGGCGACTTGGTCATAACCTTGGTTACCTCCTAGACCCCATCCCCAAACTGGTTGATTGGTCATTTGTTCTCAGGCGACACTCCTTTAATGTGATAGAAAAAGACGGACAGGCTGGATAAAAGACAGCTCTCATTTAACATCAATCAGGAACATCTAACGGACTTGAGAGCCAAGGCAATCTTTTTGTTGGACAATTGGATTGCTTAAACCAAGGACATTGGAAGTATTCTGCCTTCTGAACTCCTTTCTTTTATTTCTTTGTTGTTTTATTGCTCTCTTTATATCTTTGTAACATCTTTTTTTCTGTAAATATTTTAACCATTTTGACCTTTTTTTAGTAATAAATCCTATTTTGAAAAGTATTGAAACTGTCTCTAAAGCTTTTAGTGCAAACTAAAGAATCCCTGTCTCTTGAAGAGCGCTACTGTATGTAATAATCCTCTGAATACATCTGTCTTTGGTGACAGTGTGTATTACAGACGCTTATGGTAATATCAGAGTGTTATTGCTAAGATTTGTGAGTTTCCTCTCTCTCTGTAAAAAAGGTGGTGGTGGCAGTGTGAAGGGTTAATTGCATAATTAACCTAACCCAGTAACAATTGCTCTCAGGCTGTTGGCACATAGATTGTAGTCCCCGTGAGCTGGAAAATCGTTCTGCAGGGCACAGCTGAGAGTGGCATTGTTACGCAGGTGACAGCGCGGTGCGAGATCGGCTGGTCCTTCGGTCACGATTTGGTGAAAAGGGAAGGGGTCAGACCAGGGGCGGACTGACAACTTATGGGCCCCCGAGCAATAGGGTATGATGGGGCCCCTGTGTCCTTGCCCAAACTCAAAAAAGCCTATGGAAAAGGTACCAGGGGCATCTCATGGGGCCCCCTACTGACCCTGGGCCCTCGGGCAGTGCCCGAGTTCCCAAATGGTCAGTCCGCCCCTGGGCCGGACGCTGCGTTCCGTCACAAGGTGAGCTTGTTAAATAACCCATTTCAAAACCAATGGCTGTTATGGAGTTGGCCCCTGTCAGGGCTCCCAGGTATGACCAGAGGTGTGTGACTGAAGCAGGGAAACGCAGACCTCAGATATGTTATAAACAATATAATTTATTAACACTAACAGTACAAACATAAACGCAGTGCAATACTAAAACATAATACGGTGCAAACAAACCAAACCAAACCACCCACAGATAACAGTATATACAAGCAAGCGTCGTCAGGCAGGCCGGGTCAATATCAATTGGGCAGGTAGGTACAGGGGGAGCAAGCGGAGAATGGTCGGAGTCACAGGCCAGGTTCAGCAGGTAGCAAGCAGCATAGTACAGAGGGTCAGGCAGAGGGATGGTCCGGGTCACAAGCCAGGGATCAGAACAGGTAGCAAGCAGCGTAGTACAGAGGGTCAGACAGAGGGATGGTCAGGGTCACAAGCCAGGATCAGAGCAGGAGAAGTCAGCAAAGGAACAGAAACAGGATGCAGGACAGATACAGGGCCCAGGACAAACACAACACCAAGGCAGAGTCTGCAAGTCTGGCCATCCCTTAAATACACCAGTATCATCAGTTCCAGGCGGGCGCCGGACCCCCAGGCGGAGCGACAGGTCTCGGGCCCTCAGGCTGAAAGGTTGAGTCTCTGATTGCTGGGAGCACCCGCTGGCCAGCCCTGGTACTGCAGATCAAAAGGCAGGTGAGTCCCACCATTGCTGGCCAGTCCATTCCTAACAGTACCCCCCCCCCTCAAGCAGAGCGGCCTCAGGACGCTCCAAACAGTCCTAGCTGGGCAAAATGTTCCACCGCCCGGGTCTGGCAACTGGCGGGATATCAAAGACTGGCACACCGGGCAGGACTCCGGGCAGCGGCACACCGGGCTGGACTCCGGGCAGAGGCACATCGAGCAGAGGCACACCGGGCAGAGGCACACCGGGCAGAGGCACATCGGGCAGGACTCCGGGCAGAGGCACATCGGGCAGAGGCACATCGGGCAGGACTCCGGGCAGAGGCACATCGGGCAGGACTCCGGGCAGAGGCACATCGGGCAGAGGCACATCGGGCAGGACTCCAGGCAGAGGCACATCGGGCAGGACTCCGGGCAGAGGCACATCGGGCAGGACTCCGGGCAGAGGCACATCGGGCAGGACTCCGGGCAGAGGCACATCGGGCAGGACTCCGGGCAGAGGCACATCGGATTACCAGGCGAAGCAGCAGGCACCGGGCCACCAGGCGGAGCAGCAGGGCACCGGGCCCCCCGGGCGGAGCAGCAGGCACCGGGCCCCCGGCGGAGCAGCAGGCACCGGGCCCCCCGGGCGGGGCACAGGCACCGGGCCCCCGGCGGGATCAGCAGGCACACGGGCCCCCGGGCGGAGCAGCAGGCACCGGGCCCCCGGGCGGAGCAGCAGGCACCGGGCCCCCGGGCGGGGCTACAGGCACCGGGGCCCCCGGGCGGAGCAGCAGGCACCGGGCCCCCGGGCGGAGCAGCAGGCACCGGGCCCCCAGGCGGAGCAGCAGGCACCGGGCCCCCGGGCGGGCAGCAGGCAACCGGGCCCCCCAGGCGGGGCGACAGGCACCGGGCCCCCAGGCGGGGCGACAGGCATCGTGCCCCCCCAGGCGGAGCGGCGGGCGCCGGACCCCCAGGCGGGCGGCGGAGCATCGGGCCCAGGGGACCCCCAGGCGGAGCGGGCAAGGTCTCGGGCCCCTCAGGTGGAGCGGCGGGCGCCGGACCCCCAGGTGGAGCGACAGGTCTCGGGCCCTCAGGCGGAGCGGCAGGCGCCGGACCCCCAGGCGGAGCGACAGGTCTCGGGCCCTCAGGCGGAGCGGCGGGCGCCGGACCCCCAGGAGGAGCGACAGGTCTCGGGCCCTCAGGCGGAGCGGCGGGCGCCGGACCCCCCAGGAGGAGCGACAGGTCTCGGGCCCTCAGGCGGAGCGGCAGGCGCCGGACCCCCAGGCGGAGCGACAGGTCTCGGGCCCTCAGGCGGAGCGGCGGGCGCCGGACCCCCAGGAGGAGCGACAGGTCTCGGGGCCCTCAGGCGGAGCGGCGGGCGCCGGACCCCCAGATGGAGCGACAGGTCTCGGGCCCTCAGGCGGAGCGGCGGGCGCCGGCGCCCCCCCAGGTGGAGCGACAGGTCTCGGGCCCTCAGGCGGAGCGGCGGGCACCGGACCCCCAGGAGGAGCGACAGGTCTCGGGCCCTCAAGCGGAGCGGGCAGGTGCCGGACCCCCAGGAGGAGCGACAGGTCTCGGGCCCTCAAGCGGAGTGGCGGGGTGCCGGACCCCCAGGCGGAGCGACAGGTCTCGGGCCCTCAGGCGGAGCGACAGGTCTCAGGCGCCCCCAGGCGGGGCGGCGGGCGCCGGATCCCCAGGCGGAGCGGCGGGCGCAGGACCCCCAAGCGGCGAGCAACAGGTCTCGGGCCCCCAGGCGGAGTGGCGGGCACCGAGACACCAGGCACGACAGTGGGCTCTCGAGTCAACTGGTATGACCGCAGGCACTGGGTCAGACATTGGATGGTCCTGGCTGGACAGCGGGCATCGGGTCACCAGGCATCAGGTCATTTGGCTCGACAGCGGGCACCGCGTCATCTGGCAAGGCAGTGGGCTCCGTCAACTGGCATGACCCGCGGGCACCGGGGTCAGACATTGAATCGTCTGAGGCTGGACAGGACGGGCATCGGGTCACCAGGCATCAGGTCATTTGGCTCGACCGCGGGCACCGCGTCATCATCTGGCAAGGCAGTGGGCTCCGAGTCAACTGGTATGACCGCGGCACTGGTCACTGGGTTAGACATTGGGATCGTCTGACTGGACAGCGGGCATCGGGTCACCAGGCATCAAGTCATTTTGGCTCGACAGCGAGCACCGCGTCATCTGGCAAGGCAGTGGGCTCCGAGTCAACTGGCATGACCGCGGGCACCGGGGCAGACATTGGAATCGTCTGGCTGGACAGCGGGCATCGGGTCACCAGGCATCAGGTCATTTGGCTCGACCGCGGCACCGCGTCATCGGCACTGGCAAGGCAGTGGGCTCCGAGTCAACTGGTATGACCGCGGGCACTGGGTTAGACATTGGATCGTCTGGCTGGACAGCGGGCATCGGGTCACCAGGCATCAAGGTCATTTGGCTCGACAGCGAGCACCGCGTCATCTGGCAAGGCAGTGGGCTCCGAGTCAACTGGCATGACCAGCGGGCACCGGGGCAGACATTGAATCGTCTGGCTGGACAGCGGGCATCGGGTCACCAGGCATCAGGTCATTTGGCTCGACAGCGGGCACCGCGTCATCTGGCAAGGCAGTGGTCTCCGAGTCAAGGTCACCAGGCACGACAGTGGGCACCGGGTCATCAGGTACCGGATTGTCTGGCTCGACAGCGGGCATCGGGTCATCAGGTATGACAGGGGACACTAGGTCACCAGGCATCAGGTCATTTGGCTTGCCAGCGGGCACCGCGTCATCTGGCAAGGCAGTGGGCACCGAGTCACCAGGTACGACAGCGGGCTCTGAGTCAACTGGCACGACAGCGGGCACCGGATCAGGTACCATTAGCCGGATCATCTGGATCAACAGCGGGCATCGAGTCAACTGGCCTAATAGGATCGTCAGGAAAGTGCTGGATCAGTTCATCATGCTGGGTAGAGGCATTAGGCCGAGTAGAGGCTTCTGGCCGAGTAGAGGCGTCAGGCCGAGTAGAGGCATCAGGCCGAGTAGAGGCATCAGGCCGAGTAGAGGCTTCAGGCTGAAGAGAGGCATCAGGCCGAGTACAGGCATCAGGCCGAGTACAGGCATCAAGCCGAGTACAGGCATCAGCCGAGTACAGGCATCAGGCCGAGTAGAGGCTTCAGGCCGCGTAGAGGCTTCAGGCCGAGTAGAGGCTTCAGGCCGAGTAGAGGCTTCAGGCCGTAGAGGCTTCAGGCCGAGTACAGGCATCAGGCCGAGTACAGGCATCAGGCCGAGTAGAGGCTTCAGGCCGAGTAGAGGCTTCAGGCCGCGTAGAGGCTTCAGGCCGAGTAGAGGCATCAGGCCGAGTACAGGCATCAGGCCGAGTAGAGGCTTCAGGCCGAGTAGAGGCTTCAGGCCGAGTAGAGGCTTCAGGCCGAGGAGAGGCTCAGGCCGCGTAGAGGCTTCAGGCCGAGTAGAGGCTTCAGGCCGAGTAGAGGCTTCAGGCCGAGTAGAGGCATCAGGCCGAGTAGAGGCATCAGGCCGAGTAGAGGCTTCAGGCCGAGTAGAGGCATCAGGCTGCGTACAGGCATCAGGCTGAACCACGGAAGGCAGGTTCACCAGTTTGGATACTGGCAGGATGGTATTGGTTGGAAAGAATTTTCGCTTTTTTTCTGGTTTTAACTACTGGAGCACTGCAAGTAAACGCAGGTCTGCAAACGAATGGAGCAGCTGGGAGACAGAGAAGAACTGGAGGATGGAACAGGAGAGGGAGCAGTTGCTACAGAGGGCTTTTTTTTACAGGGTTAAAAGGCAGGATAGGTGCAGCGAGTGGGAACAGGGTACTGACATGCGGTAGATAGCCAAGTATACTGGGCTGTAACTGGAGGAGCTGGTGGGAATACAGGAGTAGAGTTAGAAGCAGGACTGGGTCTTTGTAAGCTGACTGAGGCTGGGTGCAACAAATCTGTCCATGTCTGCAGTATGGGTTGAACAAAGCTGAGCTTACACAAAGCCTGTCTGGTCAATGACTGTACTGCGTTTATACAATCTCTCAGTGTCTGTGGTGAACATGTGGAATAAACGCTCCAGAAAGTAACCCACATCATCCTCTAATAACCACACCAGGGACTCTACCTGGTCTGCACTAAATGGTGGCAAAAAATTCATCCCTGCATTCGGGGGAACCAGATGAAACCAACTCTGCACAAACCTCAATCAATGGCTGCACCTCAGAGAACACTGTGCCCTGATCTACTAGAACATGAGCGAGCCGTATACATTCTAGCAGTTCATCCCGGGTTATACTCCTTCAGAGTTTGATAAGCATACTCCCTGTCATCAAACACTAGCAGATATAAATACTCAACCTCCTCAAGATCCATCCTTCCCATCAACAAGCCAAGATGGCTTCCCTGTGCAGCCACTTCTGGTCAGGATTGGCCTTGGTGTAATGTCAGGGCTCCCAGGTATGACCAGAGATGTGTGACTGAAGCAGGGAAACGCAGACCTCAGATATGTTATAAACAATATAATTTATTAACACTAACAGTACAAACATAAACGCAGTGCAATACTAAAACATAATACGGTGCAAACAAACCAAACCAAACCACCCACAGATAACAGTATATACAAGCAAGCGTCGTCAGGCAGGCCGGGTCAATATCAATTGGGCAGGTAGGTACAGGGGGAGCAAGCGGAGAATGGTCGGGGTCACAGGCCAGGTTCAGCAGGTAGCAAGCAGCATAGTACAGAGGGTCAGGCAGAGGGATGGTCCGGGTCACAAGCCAGGGATCAGAACAGGTAGCAAGCAGCGTAGTACAGAGGGTCAGACAGAGGGATGGTCAGGGTCACAAGCCAGGATCAGAGCAGGAGAAGTCAGCAAAGGAACAGAAACAGGATGCAGGACAGATACAGGGCCCAGGACAAACACAACACCAAGGCAGAGTCTGCAAGTCTGGCCATCCCTTAAATACACCAGTATCATCAGTTCCAGGTGTTAGCTGGCTGAAAGGTTGAGTCTCTGATTGCTGGGAGCACCCGCTGGCCAGCCCTGGTACTGCAGATCAAAAGGCAGGTGAGTCCCACCATTGCTGGCCAGTCCATTCCTAACAGCCCCTGTGGTGATAACAGTCCCACTCTTCTTGGATGGCTTTCCACAATATTTTGGCGGGTGGCTGTGGGAATTTGTGCCCATATATGAGGTCAGGCTCTGATGTTGGATAAGAGGACCTGGCTCACCATTGGCATTCTAATCCATCTCAAATGTGTTCAGTAGGGTTGAGGTCACTCCAGTTCCTTCTCACAAAACTCATTCAAACCATGTCTTTATGGAGCTGGCTTTGTACACAGGAGCACAGTCATGCTGGAACAGAAAAGGACCTTCCTCAAACTGTACCACAAGATTGGAAGGGCACACTTGATTAAAATATCTTTGTATGCTGTGATATTGATAGTACCCAACATTGACAACACTTAAACTCAATCATTTGAAGGGGTAACCATATTATTATACAGTATTTTTAAAGCGCCAACAGTTCGCTCAGCGCTGTAGATTACAATGGGGGACAATACATGAGACAGTACAATAACAAAAAACAGTGCGATACACAAGGGGTTCGAGGGCCCTGCTCCTTGGAGCTTACAATGTAGGAGGGAGGGGATAGTGGTACGGGAGGAAAAGCTGTGGGGGGATGGAATGGTAGGAAGAATGGAGGAGATCAGCAGTTAGCAGAGGGTGTGGTAGGCTTCCCTGAAGAGGTGGGTTTTTAGGGTGCGCCTAAAGGAGAGGAGAGTGGGTGATAGTCCATGATGGATTGGGGTAGGGAGTTCCAGAGGATGGGTGATGTCCTGGAAAAGTCATGGAGGCGGGCATGGGAGGAGGAGATCAGGGAACTAGAGAGAAGGAGGTCTTGTGAGGAGCGAGTGTGCGTGTTGGGTGGTACTTGGATATTAGGTCAGTGATGTAGTTCGGGCAGTATGGTGGACAGCTTTGTATGTCAGTGTTAGCAGTTTGAATTTGATCCGTTGCGCAATCGGAAGCCAGTGGAGGGATTGGCAGAGGGGGGTGGCAGAAACAGAGCGGTTGGTAAAGTGGATGAGTCTGGCCGCCGTATTCAGGATCGACTGAAGCGGGGATAGTAGCCAGCGGCGAGGCAGGCCAGTGAGGAGGAGTTGCAGTAGTCGCGAGTCGTGATATGATGAGGGAGTGGATGAGCTGCTTAGTAGTTACTGGGTTAGGAACGTGCGGATTTTGGCGATGTTGCGGAAGTGGAGTCTGCATGAGTTTGTTAACAATTGGGGGAACCTGGGGCTGGAAGGATA